ATCAAAAATAGCATTAAAGCCTCATTTATTGATAAAGTATTCAGTATTACACAGAATTTTTTTTAGTTATATCAAAAAATCTTGTATCAGAATTTCTTACACAATTAGCAATTTACATTAAACCATTGCATTTCAAAGGGGCATTGTCCATTCTTTTCTTTTTATCAACAATTTTTTGAACTTGGCTAAGCACTGTTAACACACTTTTGAATAAAGGGAAACCTCAAATTGTAGTCCTTTTCTTAAAGTTCATATTCTATCTTTGAGCAATATTAAAGATGATAGTGCAGTAAACATTGGCAAAACAATGCAAAATAATTCAACAGTGCTAGAAACTTGGTCCATTTTTAGGTCTCTATTGCCTAATAAAATCAATAGCAAACAGGTGTCTAAATGATTTTAAATTGTCATCCTTCATTTAATAAAAAATACACAGCATAGTAATTTTCAACTTACCCTGGAAGAAACTCTGTCCCATGCTTGCTTCACCATAGCTTGATCAAGTGATAATTTACCATCTTTCCTTAATGACTGGGTTACAAGTTCAATCTGTTTCCTTTTTACTTCATATTGTACTCTGAAATGCTTAAATGACTGCAAAAGGAGAAAATCAAATCAATGTAGTACAGAGTCGAAGAATTAAATTCTTCATTATTTATGCAGTACTACAACCTATGACAATTTTGTACTGATAGAAGTCCTAATCTTTCCCAAAGGGGACTAGCAGTAAACTTGTATATTTACACTGAAATGCATTTTATTAAAGCTTTTAATAGACTGTAGAATCCTCCAGGGAAACATAGGTAGGACTTTTGTATTTTTCCCTTCAATTATCAGATGCCTGAACCCTATATGAGAGGAAACAACAATCAATCAGATAAACTAGCAAACAGATTAAATGCTGCTTGGGACAGACAGTGGCTGCTTTTAGAGAACAGCCGAGCTTCAGGAGAAAATTTAGGCCAAAATTCATATTGCCAATTTAGATATTAATCTTTGAGAGGGGGGTTAAAAATGAAGCTCTGAGCCCTGTTGTCTCTACCTGTCACCTCATCCAGCCTTCACTCATACCTCTCTTCTGAGCTACATCACGCAGGATCTGGAAGGATTGTACAGAGACATGCTCACTTCTAACTAGGACAGTCCTTCTTCACACTGCTAGAAAAAGCTCTGTGTTAGGCAAACCATCTGTGCACTGTCCTACGTAGCAAAGCTAGAGCTGACATTATAATTCCTCCACCAATAAAAGCCAAGACAGTTTGTGTCCTTATTTCTTTAAACTACAGTATATTGACTTGCATGTATACAGATTGCATAAAATACTGCAGTACATGTTACACATAATGATAACAATAACATCTTATCATACAAATTTTTCCCTACTGCTTACCTGGTATTTCTCTTGTAAGCTTGTTTCTGCCACCTGTGCTCGGGCTAAGTCTCGTTCAAATTGTTCTGCCCACACTTTTAGGTCTCTCAGCATGAGTCTGTCTTCCTTCTAAGATTTAGTACAACCACACACAAAAAAATCATTGCGGTCTATTAGTAGAGGTGTCAGATATAGTTCACAAATTAACATCTCTCTAGCTAGTCAAGGTCATTAGTTGTAGTGAAAGTCAACAGAACACCTGGGCCAAATTCTCTCATTGCTTATCTTCATACGGCCTCACTGAAAAACACTTCCCGAGTACAAGAGGAGAACTCTGCATCTAGATACGAGTCTTACAATGGTGAAATCATGACAATCTGGGACGTTGCCATGTCAGAGGTATTTGCAGTTCTCATCTGATGTTAAATTAACACGAAGTCCTTTAAATATACCTCAACAGCTAATTCTAGTCTTTCACATATTTGTAGAGCAAAAGTTAATTGAGCTGAGACAGGAGAGGATTTTATCATCTTTTTCCACCACTTTATTATCTGATCTGCTATTGCTGGAAAAAAAAAGCTATTTTCTCAGTGACTTCAGAGAAATCCTTGACATCAATCTCCAAGTTCAGAAGTTGGCAAAATAGTTTGATAGAGAATTTTTAACAAGGAAAGAAAGAAAACTCCGTTGTACTCAGTTTCTTTTCTTTCCATGCCATTTTATGGCTTTGAAGAACAGCACATTTGTTTTACAGTTTTGCTTAAACAGTTCAGTCTGTCATGGCACTGGTGCTTTGCAAGGCTGCAAAGTTCTCTGCAGAATTCAGTGACCTGGCAATGAATACAAAAATACTAACAGCAAATCTCAGGTCTGTAAGTCTGTTATATGAGAAGGTTAGCAGACAACAAAGTTAGGATACACGTGTCTGTCTCAGATTTCCCACTGATGAACCATTTTTGCTGGCTGTTAATCAGAAGCTACTCTTTGAAACCAAAGAAGCCATATTACTGTAAAATTTGTCAGAAACAGACCTATTACAGTGAACAAATGTAACATCACATCATATGAGTTAATCACCTAAAATGAGTTATTAACTTTCAAGCATTTATGAGAGAAGAAAAACTGGACCATGTGATAAAAAAGAATAGCCACTGGCTGTATTTAAGAAACAAAGCATTTAATTTTAAGAAAAGATCCTAACCTGAGAAAGGAGCCATTACAGTTCCTTTCTCTGAAAGGTGCCTCAAACACGTAAAATATAACTTGCCGTAATTTTAAAAGGGTAGAGCTATTGCTTCATGTCAGCTGAGGAAAGGACAGGATCCTCAGGTAGGAAAGAAACCCTTCTTTGATGTATTTCTACTAATTCTCTTACTGATCTACTCAAAACAGAAGTAGTTGGCTGGACAGAAGTTGTACAACAGATTGTGCAAATATCATGGGTAGCACATCTGTTAACTTGCTAGGTAAATTAAAAAAAACCTAGCTGGTTAGTTGCAGAGAGGTTAACATGATATTAGAGCAACTGTGCTGGAACAAAGTTCACTACAGCTCATGCTCCTGTCTTCTGACGCTTGCCAAAAGATGGTACCTGAGAAACAGTATAGGACACACATGACACTTCTCTGCACCAGCTATTTGTAATGCTGGGATTTCTTTGGCTGCATCTAGTGTCCCAAGAAGCCAAAACTCCTAGTGCTTCCAACTTCTCAGATGATTAAAATATAGAGAAGAATAGAATTCCTACTCTTCTGGTCTGATATTTAGCTCTGTGTGTGGAAAAATAACATCAAGAATCTTTGAGATAAACAGCAAAGCCAGGACTACTCTCCTATGAGGAGAAGAATATAAGAAGAGAAAATTCTTAATCCAGTAGGCAATCAAAAAAAGAATTTTGGAATTAAATGCACTCCATTCATTAGAAGTTATAATTTTAGCGAGACTATCAACATCTCTGTTAGTATTTAGCTGCCAGCTCCATAAAGGCAATACTAAACTATGAATCTTAATGGATTGAAAGTCCTCTAACAATCCTACTAACTAAAACTCTAATTAAGACATTCTTGAAGTCAGGAAGAGAATAAGCGCATCATAATGTGTATCTTACTTTCAGCTCACACTATAAATTCAGCTTTGTAAACACTGGCTTTTACTCCTCTATGGCTCACATGCTTATTGCTGAGAAGCACCTCCTTAAGGTTAAGTGTTCGCAAGAACATCCCTGTGGCTGCAGCTGTTCATAGAGCAATGTGAACAAAATAGGTATTTTGCAAGATACCTGTCACTATAGCTTAAAAATTTAATAATGGCTAAAACTGGGTCTGACCAATTTTTTTTTAAATACAGTATCACCAGGATCAAGAACACCTCTATGGTACCTGAAAACAAAGAACACAGGAACAGCCACACCTCTCCTAAATCACAAACAATTTCTCTGACATTAAAGGAAAAGATAAAGTTAACAGGTGGCATTGAGTGTCCTGTGATTTATTTTTTTTTTACTATTTATTAGGCATCTTTTGTTTACTTTGTTTAATTGCAGAAGATGTGGGTGTTTCAGTAACTGCCTAACTGAATGCTGCTAAAGACATTTTCACAAGTTTCCAGTTCAGTGCATCACCCATCACCTGCAAACTTGCTTCTGTGGTCCTTGGTTGATACAATAGCATTTTAAAGTCTCAGTTTGGGTAAAAAAGATTCACTTTCTTAGACATCAAGGCACCTGTCACCAACATCTCCCAGGTTTAATGAGCTATCATTCTTAAAACAAGACTTTCATTAGTGCCTAGTGGTTCTTACTCTTTGTAAAAAAAAAAATAAAATTAAAAGGATATTCCTACAGATACGTAAACTATTTTTAAAGCCTGCACATCTGAAGTAGCATACCGATCAGAGCATAAACCATCAAAGAAAAGTTATCTAGGACAATTATAACTATTTCTGTTTTCCCCAGTATGAGGATCATTGATCTCTGATCACATTTATTTCAGTTTATCTAAGCCACTATGACTTATTCTGCATGCTACTTATAAACAGCATTTTAAATTATTAATTTATCCTGACACCATTCTATGAATATTCACTGATTTGCAGAGATGAACAGAACTGGAGCAATGAACTGCCAAAGAATATCAAAGAAGGTAATTAGAGAAAAGTGTTTATCAGTTCTAGTATGATAAGGGGTACAATTTAAATTTACAAAGAAAGTTTTCAGCCCAGACTCAAAGTCAAAACATCGCTTTATTAAGAGTTAATTTGAAAATTACATAATACAGAATAGTCTGGTGTTTGAAGAGCTAAAAATACATATCTGTGTTTCATGAGAAATTTAATTATGGACTGGAAAAGGAGTACATCGTTGGGTTCTCCAATATATAATTATAAACCAAGTGAACTGTTCAAATTCTCAGGCACAGGCAGGATAAAATTCTCAAATATGAACTTTTAAATCTAAAAAAAATAAAAGTCACCTGTTTTTCAGAGATGTTGAACTATTGTAGTGCCTATGTGCTGAGAAAATCAAGTCCCTTTAAAAATGTGTATACATTAATTCAATTAATTATGCTATTCCTTTTGAAAACTCTGGCTCATTTATATGTGTTACTGAATGTATATGTGCATATGTGTTACTGAAACACGTTCACTGACAATAGTATCACAGATGCATGGTGAATGCTGAGCCAAGCATCATCTTCAGGGATGAGCTATTAATGCTTATCTGTAAAAGCAGACAGTAAATCACTGGAAGAGCTCAGAAAATTATTTTTGCAGCTGCTGCTCAGGAAATTCCTCTTACACTGGGAAACTCTGCTGGCATAAAGATGTTGGAGGTGACAGGATTATCTCCTGAATTACTTGCTCATCAGAGCACAAGCAGAGAAAGATTTTACTTCTGAAGTACTTTGATGGAGTGTGCTTCCTCTATTGTTAAATCTATACCAAGATAAAGAAATTGACAGAGCTTTTACCACTTCAAATCTTCACTAGCTTAAACAGCAATTCACTGGGGCTGTGTTAAGACTAAAAATGTACAACAAGGTCCCATTAAAGCTGCCCAAACTTACTTGAATGGATTGAGAAGGTGGGAATAATTCTGCCATCAGTAAAAATCTTCACTTCAACATGTACCACTAGTTAGGTATACATAATATGAGATGAACCCTTGATGATACTTACTTGAAAATAACCTATTGCTTATATATTAAAAAAAAACCCAAACAACACACACACAAAAATGAGTGTGGAACCAAGGTAATTAATTGTATCAGGTCAAACTATAAATACAATTGACTGACTGTAGTGACATCTGTTATTTGTTTCATAATATATTCACTTCTAGTAAAGTCTTTCAGTTTCACCTCTGAATGTTCATTTCAAATACTCTATGTTAGATTTCTGAACTTCTCTCTGTTAATACTAGAAAATTATAAGAATCAAAGTGTCCAAGATGATTAAAAAAATATATTTTTAAAATCATCATAATTTATGTGAAAAAAGGAGCATTGCATATCATGCAATTACACATGAATGCTCTCCTTCCAACCCACAGTCCACATACAACACTTACACAATCATATATACAGTCTAGTATCTACTCTGTAAACCCAAAGACATACACAAATACCCATCTAAAATGAGATTAGATGAGTAGAAACATCGATCTATAATCTATATTTTCATGTTTATATCTATACTTAAGAAAACCAAAAGCATAGGCTGAGATTTATTATAGGAAAGTTGACTTGCTTTTCTATAATATCTCTGAAATTATTTGCAAAATTAAGCATTAGGCTGTTACAATCAGCTTATATAAGAAAGTAGATTTTGACTCATTATGTTCATCTATTTGCTTTTTTGGAAAGATGAAAGTAAGGCTAGCAAATCAATGTACATAAAAACATTCAAAATCTAAAGTCAAATAAGTGCAGGATGAAAACAGATTAACAAGCACGAAAGGTCTAATTCAAGCAATCATTCTGGAGCGTATTACCCTTACCTTAAATTTCATAAAAGAAAAGACAAAAGTTGGGATTTCTTGAAGTTCCTAGCAATATGGAACAAATGGGAAAACAAGAGGAAGAAACAAAAAAAAAAAGAAGCAAACAAAATAAAGCAAAGCAGGCAGAAAGTCCAGAGAGAATAAGAGCCATACGTGTAAAAATAAAAGATGTACTTAAAATATTATAAAGTTCATGTATCTGTATTATATCTAGTGAAGTAGTTTTCATATTAGATCTGATTTCCAGATTACTAGTCATTACACGATTTATTTTATCTGGAAAAATAGTTACTTACTTTAGAGTAACTGATTCTTTGAGATGTGTTGACTACACAAATTCATGTATGTGAATAGCTGGTGCATGCATGAGATATTAGATCCTTTTTAATTCTGGAAATGCACATGCAAATAGCTGTACCCTCTGACCACAAATAAGGTAAAAGCTTCAATCAATACTTCATTTCTTCCAATGCAAATTCTTTATAAGCTGAGCATTGAATCAGGAGGGCAGATGAATAGGAATTTGTGCGGACAACACATCTCAGGAAAACACAGTGGTGGCTGAGTTGGCTGGAGGGCAGGGAGAGAGGGTTAGAAATCCTTCCTTCTCCACCATCAAAAAAACACTCAGACACACTCCACTCTGAAGTAGGATTCTTCTAACTAAACATAGGCATCTTTGACTGAGATAGATAGTCACTCTTTCAGTTCTTTTTGACAGATAGAAAAAACAGTTACATCTAGCATCTATTGCCCAACTCAGTCTCTCTACAGCAGGCACTTAACATAGGTCAGATAGAATACACCTTAAAAGTGTTTAATTTTGGAAAAAAAGAAATTAAGAGTACCCCAGGAGTTTAAAGGATAAGAGTCTTGCAAGGCTATCTCTTCCAAGTACCTGGATTCTACCATTCTGTGATACATATTTCCTTGTGCTAGACAAGGGAGAAGGGGGAAGACAGGCTAAGAATAGGGGGATTGTACTGGTTGCAAAAATATAAAGCATGTCTGAATTTTTCTTTAATCAACTGCTAACAACATTATATCTATCATTACCTAGGGGAAGGATTTATCTGAGTCAATTTTAACTTTGTTGAAATGCTAGACAACACAAACTTCTAGAAGACAGTTTTTTAGGACATCATGGACATCATCTTAAGAAAAGTGCCATCTGGAAAAGTGTCTATGTCTCACTGATTAAAGGTGGAGTGTAAGTACCTAGCTTTTAGATTCTTAAAGATGGATGAATCCTGTCCTAAATGACTAAACTAACCAAGTAACACAAAATTCCTATGGAAAGCTTTCGGATGGACATAGATACTCCAGGTCAGCAACAGGGAAGAAAGAGGCAATAGATACTGTTCTTCCTTGCATTAGCTATGGTGATCACTTGGGCATCCAATTCACTTATAGGGTTTCCACAAACCACAATAGGGCTATTTTAAAATGAACTGATCTTACATGTTTGGTCTGATCTTGCATATGTTTGTATACCCAGAATAGAATCTGTGGACAACATTTCTTGAAAAAGAATAAATGAATTTTCAATCTAAATGCTTTATATAGTCACACAAATATCTTGTATCTGATTCACTTTGAAGTTTGTGCACGGAGAAAAGAAGTACTCTCTCCCTCACATTTTTTCCAGTCAATTAATTTAGCAAGGTGAATATTAAAATAACCATGGGTGCAGACAGGGGACAAAAAAAGGTACTTAAGTGGCTTGTATTGACAAGAAAGTCAGTTGCCACACTATGATTTCAAACAGTTATTTCCATCCAAAAATATTTCCCTTAAATTTGCAATATATTATGTTCATGAATGTTTCCTTAAGTGCTAAAGAAAATAGTTCTTGTTTTTATAAACAGAATCCATTTTTCTATTTTTTTAAAGGAATTTAAATCTCCATTCTTGTATGATACCATTTAGAGAAGAGCATTCTTCTTGCATTGCAAGAAGACCTCTACTGTTGTTGTTTCATCAAAAAAGAGTCTTAAATATATCAACTATGTTATCTTAAATATTATCAGCTGGCAACCTCCCTTGAACTGCTCGCAACACTATCAATTTGGATCTGCTGTAGTGATAGCCTTACTTAACCTGGTGATTTAAATGATCCTTTGCCTAATTTTCACCAACTGATATACAATTAAGAATTTGGGCTAAAAGGTATGAAAGCACTTGGTGGGAAAAAAAAAAATCTCCAGAAGATATTTGATAATGAAACATTTGATTAAGATAGTTTTTTTCTATTTTCCCTTCAAATACTATATAAATATGGAATGCAACACTTATGTCTGTATATTTTTAAATTGCATTGTTGGATTTTCAGCACTAGAATCTCCCCGTAAGTATCATGTAATATGAATGACACTCTCATTTTGCCAAGGATTATCTGGATATCTTGTTTCATCTAGGTATTCTGCAGTCAACAGGATCAACTTCATTAATTCCGGGCTTCTTTCCCCCTCCCCTCCAGAACTGAGTAAACTAAAGTCCTAACATTTGTTTGAACTTATAAATGACACTGTGACAAATCTGTAAGTATGATTTTCTTGAGAACACAGAAAATATCTTAAAATGCAAGTTCTGAGTATGAGAAATTTGATTATGTTGACAGATTCTCCCTGAAATTCGTAAGTAAAGCAGCTGAGAGCAAAATAAGCTTCTTTCTGTGGTGTATGACAGAAACACAAAAGTTTATAGCAGTAAAAGACTAAAGCGTGCCAAACATTTAGCCATTTGAAAGCTTACATCTGTCCAGTCCTAAATAGATGAAAGCATTGGGCTGGTTTTACTATGTATTTCACCACTTCAGGACCAGTGACTACTTGGGTCCTGGACATTCGTGCATTGTTTACTGGCCTGGATCCATCCAGATCTTTTTCCCATCAATCTGTCACATGCCACATGGTCATCATTTTGTATCATGACCAGAGGCGAGGGAACTGGGCCTTATGGTGGACACGGCTAGGGAGTAAGATATAGAGTGGACATAGGTGCCTGACAGGGATGAGAATTTCTCCAGAGATGGGATAGCAGAATTTGTGTCAGAAAAAATTGAGGGCCCCATTGCTATTCTTGACTGGAGAGTGCACTGGAGAAGTTCTTCCTCAAGGAAATGAAGAATGATGACATTAGAAATCTAGTGCAATGTCAAACTCTTAGTTTCTTCTCAAAGTCTGGGAGTTAATGATTTCTTCAGCGTGACATACACGGGTCCAGCAGTTCTGCCAAAATTCATCTGCATTGCTTCTGGAATACCTTAGCAATGCCCAGGAAGAGGAAATAGTCTTGAGCTAAGTATGTCAAATTGATGAATTTGTGTTCTTTCACTTTCTAGTAATTCACTGGGAATTCCAACAGCAACTCAGTAGTTTCCCTTTCATCTCTACCCTTTCTGAGTAGAGTCAGAGGCAGGCAGAGCATGGAGTGGCTGAGTCCTGCATTCTCCTGCATCATCTCTGCATAAAGCTCAGGAGAAGGTGATAAGGCTGTTCCTCAAAATCCAACCTCAGCACAGGCAGCAGATCTGGCCAAGGCTGTTGGCAGCAGAAACTGCATTGTGTGCCATGGTATGGAGATGGCAGGACTGCCTTGGCCTGCCACAGGCCACAGCATGAGGCTTCAGTGCTCATCCTTCTGCTTCAGAAGTCCCACTACACAGTGAGATGCTGTGGTATAAGCATGCGTATGTCCTCAGACCAATGTTGCAGCAAAGAAAATGAAATTTCCAGTGCTCAGGCACTGGAATTGGACAGTAAAGCTGCAGCTGCCTTAGTCACACATAGCCATGAGGAAGGAGATTCACTCCTTTCAAAGCTCTTTTATAGCTCTGTAGGAAATGCAAAGAAACACAGATAAAAAATGTTTCCTCCTTCTCTCTTGCTGAGGCTGAGCAGATTGTCTCAGCAGTGTTTCCTGTGCTTGCCATGAAGAAAGCAAATGACCAGGATTAGGTAGTGAGTCATGATCACCTGGCACCACTGAGTACAGCCATTCTAGTGCGAAGCCAACACACTAGAGAATGTTTCATGACTGAAAACAATTCCTTAGAGTGAACGGGCAAACATCACTGTGCAATAGAAAGAAACTCGTGTCAAAATTGTAACTGCCTCCTGAGCCTAGAAGCTCAAAGACTATACCTCAATAATCTCTGGGACTATTCTTGTTCTTATCCAGAAACTCAGTGTTACAGAAACAGAAGAGACACATTGTTTCAGGTAACAAATTATTGCAATCTCATTGGTGTTATGCTTGAAAATCTCTTAGGGAACTTTAGGATCCATTGGTTTGCTTCTATCTACCATAACTGTTTGTGTTCTTTTTGGCTCCTACTGCTGAAAACAGGAAAATCTCTGCAGGATCACCATGCCATTTTCTCCATCTACTAGCAAACATCTGCAACTCTGGTTCCTTTTTTCTCAGCTAATTCTTCCCAATTTTCTTATTGTGCCTGCTTTTCACTTGAACTGCTCAGCAAAACAAAATATAATAAACTATAAGAAAGCTACAAAATGTATTTATAAAACCCTCCTCATGATAAACTGATTCGTATAGTTATGCAAGGGAAACTTACATCATTCTCCTGCACGTCAGTCACTGTATGATGAGGATCGGGATAGTACTTCAAAAACTGGGCTACATAGGTCATGACAGACTTTTCATCAGGCTTGTCAACATCCACATCTAGACAAGTATAGAACACGGTAAATAAATTTTTAGCTGAATGGCACAAAATGCTGCTTAAATGTCTAAACACAGATGAATTAGCACATCTGATTTAACTCATGCAAGCAGTTAAAGCTTTTTTCAACTATGCATTAGGTACCTTCTGGATCAAGGAGCCTTGGAATTCCTAGTTCTGCTTCTGCAAGTGTAAAGGCTTCTTCCAGGTTTTCTCTATTTGATCTTCCTCTCACTTTCTCCATATCCACTAAATCTGGGCGGATAGCATGAATGATGGAATGAAATGCAACACCACTTCTCCAACTTTGTCCAAAATCTTTGATTTCAATTCCAACTTGTCTAAAGAATATGAAAGAAAAAAAAAAAAGTGACTTGCAGCAACACCAGGTCTAGATGACACGGTGGAGGAGACAGGATGCTCCACCCAGTGGTTACCCATCATTAAACCTAAACCACTTGTTCCTGCAATGCTAATCAGGTCAACTATAGCTCCATCCATCCACTGCATAAATTCATCTCGGCCTATGAAGCTCCTAGAGTTTTTTGTCATATACATACTGCATTTGTCTCCAGTGGGTTTGCTAGTCTCAATAAACCAACAGTATTTCAAACAAATAAAGTGCACCCCGGTTCTCAAGGTTCTTGTACAACACACTCCCACTCTGTGGATGTATACAGCTCCATTCACTATTCTCTCCCTCACTATAAAGCACTTCATATCTCCCTCCGTTATAACTACTGCAGTTCAGCTACGCACATCTTTATCATACCAAAAAAAAAAAAGATTGCATTAATCTTTTATCTTTTAAAATGAAAGCATGAACAATATCATCACTGCTGTTCAGGTAAAAATGTAACACACAAATTTCTTTATATTCTTAGCAAAAGCATGAGTGATAATATAATTTCATACACCCAGAACACTTACACATCCTGTAAAAAATAAATACAAATTATCAAGAAATAGCAATATACAATGAGAAAGTAATCAGAACTGAATCACACTTCTGACTGCTTCTTCTAAAAGTAATTCTGAAAGGTATTCTGGTCCACAGACTGCAAGACTGTTTTTCACTTTGTCTGAGCATGCAAACTTCCTTTGAGGACACACTTAGACACTAAGGTAGTTTTGCCATTGGGAAGTCCACAGCAACAGTAACTCTGAATGAAGGCTTCATTCAAAGCTCACTGTGATCAGTGAAACACTTTCACTGACTTTAATGAGCCAGTCCTTATAAATTACAATGTGAAGCAAGGCTAGCAAAGTGTACCATCCTTTCTCTAGATTTCTTTCAACGTGTTTCACCTACTTTTCCCAATAATGTTGACAGTTTAATTTATGAATCTCTTTCCGCGTTTGAATTTTGTTGGTTTATATGTCTGGCAATTGCAGCTGACCACTTTCAGTTGCCTGTCTCTTACTGACAACAGTGCAATAGGAAGAATGCCAAATTAGACTGTACTGCACTATAAATTACCATATTCTACCTATTTATTGGAGAATAAATAAAAGATAATAAATACATATATGAATACTGCAGAAAGTCTGTATCTTTGCAATTATATTTCTTTTCTCAGAGACATCATTCCATAACTGGCCATTTCCCCTCCACATTTTGCACGATTGGTCTCTTCAAATAGCAGTGAGTCCTCAATTTGAATAAATAAATCCATTTTATTATTTTACATCTTTGATTTTTATCTTCTTATTGTGGAAGACATCAAACTACTATTGTATCTTTGGTCTAATTTATGTGCTTTTTTAAATGCCTTTTGGAAGCAGAGCCAATATGGGATAACTATAGCAAATAAAGAAGATTCTTAGGTTAAAAAGAGATATCAAGAAATAACTTCAAAATAACTTGGATTAAAAATTAAGAAAATTCAGAGCAATTTTTGTAGTAATATGTACACAAAACAGCAGCAGGATATTCATAATTTTTCATCACCTGCATTTCCACACTAAGTGACAGAGTTTAGTGCTCCTACAAACTCTGTCTGTCACTGAGGAATGCTAAGTTGGTGTGTGACTTGCATTGTCACATTGGGTGTTTTGGCAGCAGAACTACTACATTGTCATTCAGACATCTAATTCCCCTTTCAGTTCCTCATTCTGTCAAAGATAATCCCATTCATTATTGAGAAACTATAAAATATGATTGCTTGTAAAATTAATGCAAATCGCTATTTATTACTTGCTTATTGTACGGTGGTAACATTTAGCAGCCTCAGTTGTCAAAAGGAATATGATCATGGGGAGGTGCTATACCAATACAGAGCAAAAGGACAATCCCTGACAGAGTTTAGAATCCAAATAAAAAGTTTGCACTTCAGATATAAATTCAGTTCATTTGCAGGTTACTTACTTTGCTGCTGTGTACTGTATCCATTTTAACAAAGCCTTCCTGGCACTTCCTTGGACCTTGGTTACCACCTTCCGTTTGCTTGGGGGACTTGCAGTTTCTGAACTGACAACACTCTCCACAGAGGAAGCGCTGCTAGACAATGACTGAAGCTGTGGGAGGTTGCTGGTAAGCTCTTCAATCTGTGGGGAAAAAATGTTAATGCTCTGTTTGTAGATAATCTTAATTCTCACCAGTTTCTTAAATAATTTCCTACGACAACTGACAAAATAAAGTTAGGCAGAAGCTATGATTAAAATGCTGTGGTTTATTTAACTGTACATTAAAGTAGCTTCAAAAATGCAAATGTATGTGCCCCGATGATGGTCTTAATTTCAGAAGTACAAGATATCTAGCCATTATTGACTTTCTTGACACCCTACAATTAGAAGAATATGCAAGTGTGCCAAGTTATGACAGATTACCATTGAAATAGGAGACTATGGCTTACACTTAGCTTGAATTCAAATTCTAAAACAATCCGCTAATTTCAGAGCAGGCTCATTCAATTAAAGAATGGAAGTGACCTCAATGATCTCATATGAATAGTTTGTTATTTACCATTGCGCTGCTTTGGCACAAATTCAATTGCGGTTTTGCTTAGAGGTACCTTGTGGGGGAGTAGTGAATGTACTGCAAGCAAAACGCATTAGTAGTGCTTGCCGCAGGTGTATGACAGTTATTTGCATCGTGACTTTCATTAAATGAAAATCATTAACTTGACTCTTTTAAGAAATTGACTAACGATATGATTCTTTAACATGAAAAAGTTATATCCATAGGACACTGCAAGATTTTCTATGCCATCAACATAAAAAAACCAGTTTTGTCACATCACAGAATGAGTCTGCCACAATGAGGACTACAGCTCTCATGCATTTCTGCTCTCATTCATGTTAAAATGGTATATCTGCCTGTGACAACTAAAGAAGAGTTCAAAAAATGACCCAAGTAAACCTGATTCAGAGAAATGATTCCGAGTTTCAGTAACTTCGAGAAGCATAATTTTCCCTGTTCATCTCAATGAGCTATAAATAAATAAAAATATTAACATAATTCTGGCAAAGTTTTCTTCTCAGGAGATCTGAACCAATGAGCTGTCACACTGGTTGGTGCTTAGGAGAATAGCATCCCTGAGACATGACAGCTACATCACAAGAGAGTCAAAGCCAAAGAACTCCATAAAGAAATGCAACAGAATCAGTTGGGTTTTTTAATTGTTGAGCGGTGACTTATTTTTTTAAGTCATATGGACAGGATTTGAAAACTATTTATTCCTCCCAACTAAGATCACCAGAATGCAAAAGATTTCTCCTCTACAAATTCAAATGCCTCTCAATCTACACCATTCGCAGCTAAATTTTGTCCTTGCAAATATCTGCATCTCCCAGTGAAATCAATATGTTCATATGTATTGTTTGAAAACGATTACTGTCTGACATCAAGTCCACTGAAATTAGACATACAACACAATCACTACTGAGGTTGCTAAAGGTACTTGTAACAAGAATCCAATTCTATTCTCTTCTTTTGTTCTCTATGGTATTCTTCAGAGAAAGTGGAAGAAATGTTCCAGTGATGAAGGAACTCCATTCTAGGACCAGACCAACCTATTTCAAAGACATACATTTGATTTTGCCCAATGTGAAGCACCCCTACCATCAACTGTCACTTTATTCAGGATTAGATCCTCAGCTAATTATGAAGTGACTCAGCTGTGAGGAAAAACTGGAGCTACACCAGGTCATATGAAATGATGATTCGAAACAGTATTTGAGCAAGCTATACTAAAGTATACAAAATGTAGTACCTGAAAATACAAAATGATGGTCCACACCAAGCCAAGCACAATAGAAGGCCGGCCATCAGCAATATCAGTTGAGTTTATGTTGACAAGCTTAATCTATATAGGAAAGGAAATGTGTTACTACCACACACAAGGAATGATAACAATTATGAAACACATTTCAAATAGGTTTTATACTTTTAATGCATTTTTGCAATCAAATAACAAGTTTCTGAATTAAAAAAATCATTAAATGGTGCAATTTCATTTTTCAGACAAGTATAGCTATAGATAATGAAAGATTTTTAAGACCACTGCATGCTATTATTTGTAGAAAAATATGTAATTCCAAGCAGAAAGAACAATAAAAATTACATAGAATCATTGTACAAACCGGAGATCCTCGATATATGGACTGGCATGAAAAGCAAACAGAAAAAGATGATATAAAATAAGTCTTAAATTATTATTAGGTAAATGCATTAATTTAATTTTATAATGCAAAGAAAGCACATTTTTGGCACATTTTACAACAGAACTAATATGGAAAGTAAATTAAATACTCCACAACAGATTTTAAATTATGCAGTGGTTTCTTGCTCTAGTTCTAATAGATTTCAAACGGAAAGAGCAAGGTGACTTTAAGAATAAACAAGGGAAGAAAAGGGGGGAGGAAAGCATAAAAGAAAGATAAGGGAAAAAAGAATGCCACAGTTCTACAACAGAGAGACTTTTATTGTAAAGGATATTACCACCACTGATTAAGGCTCCCTTGCAAGACAAACCTGACTATAGTTCTTTTAAAATAAGACAACAGTTGGAAAAAATGAGTTGTCCAAGGTCACATGAAGTTTTTCAACAGAAACAGGAACAGATTCCATGACTCTTAAATTCCAAATGCTAATCTATAGTCTGAATAAAGTATTACTCTAGAATAATCTCATAAAATAAAAGGTAGTAAACAAAGGGATAAAGAGTGTATCATAAAGAAATTAATAGGTAGATAATGCTCAAGGAAATTGAATAAAAGAGGTAACATTGGAAAATTAGCAGATACGTTAACACTTATTTCCTCAGCAAAACTTCCTTGCCATCAGTCACGATATAAATACGAAGGGCTGATAAATTGTTCCTGTAATGCAAGCTTGTTCATGGACAAAGGTTATGTAAAAAGCTTGGAGAATAGGTTAAAGAAAACCAGGAGAACCTCATTTGTCTCCTCAAAACAGACAACAGGCTGCAGTTATCTGAATCAGCAGCTGGAAATCCACTAGGTAATGTCAAGAGCGAACAAAAAAATCTTGTTCAGGGCTGTGAAGCTCTCTTCAGAATTAAAACTCCACAGGCTGCTTGGGAAAAGGCAGAGGAGAAATCCCTACAGGTTGTATTTCCAATTCTCTCCACCAAGAAATCTGACAAAACTCTGGGAAAATTGACATTACTTTCTTCTCTACCAGTCAATAAGGAAAATTTTCTATTACCTACCTAAAGAAAAATACACCAAGAGTCTCATTCTCTCAGCTGGACCAATTCCAACAAAAGGTTTTCTTTTTCTAGAAAGCGAGGTTTTTCTTATATGTATTAGAGATTAAAAGATTTACAGAGCTCAGCCTTCTGGTTAGGCTTCTGTTCACAGAAGTATAGCCTATCTAGTCTAGTTACTGTGTTACCTTTGTCTTATACTCCATTAAAATGCATCTAAAACTGCAAGATAAACTTTTCAGAACCACAAAAAAACCCCACAACAGTTTAGTCCAGAATGGTATCTGTTTATTGTCAGCTGCATTTTGCAGTATAACAAGAGTATTTGCAGAAGTCTGTTTGGACAGTGAGAATCAGAAGTTGATTAAATGTGTAATAAACTTTACTTCTGGGAGAACCCATGGAGGAAGGAGACCCTGTCGGCACTTCCCAAAGCACTGCGCACAGCCACGCGCCTCTGTTCGTTCACCTTTGAGCACAGACTAGGGACTGCTCTCCGCTGCTGAAGTGGCATTTGCTGTCTGAAGAGCATCCCCGCCTTCTTTGCAAAGAAAAGGGTGACAGACTGGATAGATGCATCCTTTAGTCTGGATTCAACCTAGAAATCACTTGCTAATGCACACCAATCTACCTGACGCACTGCATATTTCCTACTCCCTCTAGAAGAAAATCAGGCATATTGATATAAAGTAGACACAAAAATAACCGAGACAAGTCCAGACAAAAATACTTAAGATATGAGAAGCAAAATCTCAGTGCTCCATTTCTGGTATCTATCTCGATCTTCAGAAGGGTCAGTTATCTAGCTGCACTGCTGTATTATTTCTGGGATCTCAGCTGGGCCATCCAAAGTTTGAGTCATCCACTACACTGTGACATGTAAACTAGGGAAGCATGGGGTTTTCGCTCTCCAGCCCAGTCTTGTCTCAGGTTATACAGATCTCACCACAAAGCAGCTCTCTTTGTACCTAAGCCTCCACTTTCAAGCTGCCTATGATATGGTTTGTATTAACAAACTGTACTACATAAAACAGTGAAATCAGGAGCTAAAGCTGAATTTCACTTTGATTTGGTTGTACATTTTTCAATTTAAAAAGTTCTTTTATAGATTTCTTTCTACAGGCATCTGCTAAGATTGTTTCCCACATAACAGAAATATAATTAGGTCAGGATGTCATAGGGTTAAAGAGAGGGAAAGAATGCCAAAATCCAAGAACTCCTGATATACAGCATTGTGGAGACACAAAATTCATGAGGTGTTGCATCTGCATTGAGAAATATTGAACTAAAAAGCAGAAATCAGAAGAACAAAATATCTGCAATCTGATTTTAAAAAACAGATACAAGTCATTACAATATGGAGAAAGAAGTCAGCAAAAAAGGTAGAATTAGATCGCTTTTATTTGATATTCATACCTAGATCACTCTGAGCTTTTAGGTTTTCTGTCTTTTGTTAAATCACTGAAATATTTTGTTTCATGTCTAAAATGGCCACAGCACTGACTTTACCAGAACCAATCCAGAAATTAGTCTGAAGTCCTGCCAAGCTACTAAGGTGTCATACTGTTCTAAATTTTCATGTCTATACTTTCAGGGAGTAGTGTTTTGCATGCACAACCTAGTGAAGTCCATAAATCTATTCTTTTAATTATAAATGAATGTCTCTACTGAACTGAAGATCATTGTTCTTTGCTGAGAACAGCAATAGGAAAGTAGGGAACATGAGAAGCTGAAGAGCACATTAAAAACCCAAAACAAAAAAAGAAGGAGATCATCCAAGGTGATTCCAATTAAAAAAAAAATAAAGAAAAAAAGAAAAGTTTTACTATATATGTTACTACATATTAGTGTTGGATCTTCTCATTTTTACTTTTCAGCAGCTTTTAGGCACTGTGTAGAAACTGAAGACTGCAAACATCGGTCAAATTTTGGAGAACAGGTAAGTGGATACAAATCATGCATTTAAGGAAGGGAAGGAAAAAAAAAAAAAGAAGAAAAAACAGGATTAAGTGCTACCAAACCTACCCGTCTTCCTTCTAGAAATTTAAGTGCTGTGCCAATGTTGGCGACCCAGTGAATTCTCTTCAGCTGACGTCCCTGCTCACAAGGCTTAAAGAGAAAGAACAGTGTAAACTCCAATTAGATTTATGCCAATCTGCTGAAAAAAATGAAGTTCCAGGTTATTATAAATGCCTATGTACATACCGTAGTCTGATTCACAGGTAAAAATGTTCCTTGGAACAGTTAAATTGTATCTTTGCATATATGATCAGGGAGGACTGATAGATATAGGGGACATAAATGTGATACTTCTATTATAAAAAAGTTATATATGTCTTAACCTCAGGATGCAAGCTATCAGCTTTGGTCTATAAACTTAATCAAATCAGAGAACTGTTTTTGTTATACAAAATAAACTACTACGATTTTTATAAACACACACACATATATGTATTTGAGAGAAGGCAACATTCTCTTAGTAAAACATTTTTGCCTGCAAAGGAGAAGTCAAGGTCGTTCTTACTTTTAAAAATCAGTCTTCAATGAAGACATTTTACCTAGAGGATTTTTATCCTTCTCTCTAACACCTTATTGGTGATTAAAAAACCCAACTACAACAAATGAGTTTTGCTGAACTTCAGATATGTAGGCTGAAAAAAGACAGAAATTCTTGAATTAAACCAAGAACATATCCTAGGCTTCTAATACTTGACAGTGGAATTAAATTCGCCATTGAATCTTATATTGTAATGCAAATATACAACTCCTATAATTTAAAATCCTTTTCATGAAGTTACAAATAGATTTAACAAAGGCCTGCTATAGATTCTGAAATTCCTCTTGCAGTTACTACAGAATATCATGTTCTGGTATACATCATCTTTAAATTAACCAGACATTATTCTGGTTTTGTAATACCTCTCATCTTTCACTAATTAATATAGGTATGATACAATCCAGTGAATTTCATTGTAACAGGTGTCGTCACTAAAATTCTTTTTTGTTTTACTTCTGTTTTGCCACAAGAGGGAGACTTTCTGCCTTAGACAAACAGAAACAGACATGGGTATATTTCAACAGAGCAGAGACACACTTGAGTATAACTTTTTTCCCATCTTACAGTAAAAAAACTCTTGCAGTCTGAATTACTATCTAGTTTTGGGTATCATCTGCAATCAAAACAGAGGAGAAATACAAAAAAGAGGCAAAAATGTGGTACTTGCAAAATGCCTGCATGTGAGGGAATTGGTAACGTCTGAACTCAAGAGCAAGCCGAATGAGGGATTGTTGCTCTACTCTTTCCAATGCTGCCACTCGATCTGCGAGCTGGTTTGGAAAAAGTGAGAGCCCTTGGCCTAAAACCCTTTCATTTTTCTCCCACATCACATGCACAAAAATAGCCTGACTCCCAAGAGATAGCCCACTTGCCATGTACACACCGTGGCCTCTGCACGCAACTTGGCTGTGAAAAAGCCATTTGGCATCACTTCAGGTTCTTTACAGCAGCAGAGAAGCTGTCAAGGTAAATCGATATAAGACCCCATGAAATTTGAGGGGCTCAGATCTTGTTTTTTGGAAAGAAAGCCATAAACTTAACAAGAAAAGACTGTCATTACTTCTTCAAGATGTGTAGAAATAGCTTGCAGTTTAGACCTTGTTTGTGTTATAGTAGTAACATACAGGTGGACTGCAAAGACTAATACAAATACGCAATTTTTGTGAACTACTATGGCAGAATTAGTAGAAAATGAATAAAATCAAGAATGTCAGTCTGTAATAATTTTTTGTTGTTGTTTTGTAACTAGATTGCTCACTCTCTGAATAAACATTATTTTCCTATGCAGCAGTCAGGGTGTTTTACAGTATTCAAATATAGAAACATATTAGAAAACTATACCCTAGAGAAGTTATGCAACTATCTTATGTATTCAGAAGGAAGGAAGTTCTTACCAGTTTCTGCCCTGAAAGAACCTCCAAAAGGGCAATTAGCATTACCCCATCTTTGATATCTTCAAACAGATCATTCACCAGCATGGGAGGATTGCGCTGTAAACGGAGAAGATCAGATATCATAAAGGCTCACCAGCATTATATCCTACCTCCCTTCCTTTTGTACAGAAGCACAAAGAGGGGTTATCCCCTTCTTTATGTTTTATAATGTTTAACCTCCTCCTCTCTAAAACAAGCACAGAAACACACCAACAACTGCCTACGAGTCCATAAACTACACACAATTTATGGATGTGCTATTACAGTCACATTCCAATCTATCAGCATACTTTGCCTAGTGTTAAGTATGTCACAGAAATTTCACTCTCTCATTCTGAGTAATACAAGGAACTGTATGAAGGAAAAATCCCTAAAGTGGAGTAGCTGGTTGAGCAACACTGCTACTTTCTCACAGCTGACAGTTGTTACACTAAGTTGGTGTATTTTCTCTCCTCTCCTCCAGGCCTTGCAGGCTTCCAGCGTTGTTAGCACTGTGTCAGCTTCTACTTAAGACAAACTGCTTAACATATGTCTTTACGTTTGCAAACACAACAATGATAATACTGAAAAGTCTGTAAACAGAGTTTTAGGAATCACATGATTAAACTCTTCTTAAATACATCTCAATTTGTGGATCTGTGGCTCTCAGCTGGTCAGTACCTTAATGATCACAAAATATCTCTTAGAAACAAAAAGTTTATAAACTTGGTCCAGCTGAAATAAATTAAATAAATGCCCTCTAGCTTCCATGAGCTTGTCAGCTTTCACATAATACTAATATTTATACCTGCTGATTCACTGTAAGGACATTCAGACTACAAAACTCTTGAAATTAGTTTAGGTTTAATAATTTACTTTTTGGGTACTTCTGAAAAAAGATGAATGAATAACAACTTGATCTATTACTTCTGTTCTGTAGCAACATAGATTTGAAAAAAATGAACCTAACAAATGAAACACTGCTCTTCAAAGGTAAAAATGCAATAACAAATCAGGAGAAAATAAAGGTTTCTAGTTCCCAAAATTAAAACACTGTCTTCATTGTTCAGCTTGGATAAACTAACACTTCAATGAGACATCACTTTGGCATAAAGTGGAAAAAGAACTCCTCTGCTGAAAGCAGACTTCATCTGAGATTTGATGTGCTCTAATAGTCACAATAATAGAGTCTATTTTCTCATGTATATAAAATAAAGCAATATTACAACTCATTATAAGGGTATATTTAACCATAGTTCTTTTTTATTTCCTAGCACTGCAATAGCTAACAGATCATGTTCTTACTTAATATAACACCAAAGAAATCAATGGAGCAAACAGGTCACTGGAGATTAATTTGTCCCAGCCTTGTACCACAGGTAGTTGACATAAAAGCAATTCATTTTCCTCATCTTCTATGTTATCATTTCCTGTTTGAAGTTCAGAGCAGCTTTGGTTTTATCAGTTATACCATATGATATAGCACTGAAGAATTTTGTGCTGAAATAATTCAGTAATAAAGACAAGAGGATTACAGCAGTTGACATCCTAATCCGACAAGAGGTGAAGGCCTAAAAAATCTTACCACCTACCTAAACGCCCCACTAGTGAGGTTTGTCTCTTGAAGCTCACTCTACAGTAATGAAGACAGACAGGTTCTCATAGAGGGCAATTTAGGACACATTCAGATTGAAGCGTGAGATTTACAGTGCCTCACAGCCCTGGTGCCCATAACATGCCTATCAGACGACCTGTTTGAGCGCAACACAGCTGCCTTCCACCTTGAGCGATTTGGTATCCTTACTTTCAAATCACGGTACAGGCCAGAATTTGCCTCATCCCAAAATGAAGTCAGAAGTCATCTGGCATTCATATGCAAACCAAGTCTGGGAAGCACCTCTAGTTCCCACAGCACATAGCTTCACACTGTAGATAAAACCTCCGATCGCCCATGTCAATCTCTTGCTCTGAACCACCCTTCACTGGTCGCTCCTCACTGGCAGTAGTTACAAAACCGAGATTTGCACCCTAACTGAGGCATGGGACTAAGGTAAGGCAGTAAAAGTATCCCTGAAGACATCATTCAGGTAAACTAACAGTACTTTCCTTTTGACATGAATCAAATACTGGTTTGTGGAAAGCTAGGGGAAGTACAAGACAGTGTTGATTGAATAAGATGAGAAGCAACTAAGAATAAGTCAAATGGGTACTTCAGACCTACTGCTCTGAAGTATGAGAATCACAGCAATTGTCCATACATCAGCAGGCTGAAATGTACTTTTTCTTGCTGGAAGACTGTATAATTACAAACACTGCCAGTGTTTAACAGCACACACAATGTATCTTAACACTAATAAAACAGGAACAGAAAGCAGGTACCACAGTTGTGTCACAAGATCTCCTGTATAAGACTCCTTTAATATGGAAAATTAATTATACAGACTGCCAAAAACCTTTTTGCATATTACTCTTTATAATATAATGTTCCTCACTACTTTTAAAATGTTAACAGGTAAGACTCTTCATTGTGTTTCATGAATCACTTTTTTTTTTTACTACTCTGGCCATAGAATTTACCCTGTTATTATGACTCCAGTCTCTCTCAGAAGTATGGAATTAGTTATATTTTTAGTGGCAAATACAGAATAGATTCCTCTTTTACATAAGGATTCTGTAGATACCAATCTTATTCTCCATACTGATACAATTCAGGAAGATATATATACACTAGGTGATACTGAGCAGTTCATACATCCTTATTTATTGTATATGGACAATAGAATAAAATGGATAAGCTACTTGACTGTTTTTCCAGGCAGATCCTCTACTGAGATTAACACGACATCTGTTGGAATGGATAAATACCTTCTCCTTGGCTGCCTATATAACATAGAATGAAATTAAACGAGAAAGTGAAGCTGTATGCTACTTACTTATTAGCCTCCATAAAAGAAAGGGTTTTTTTTTAAAGCTATTAAAATCTATTGAATAATTTTTATTCTAGAGACTCAACAGGACTTAACACCTATTCACTTACTTGCCTTAATGCACTGCCAAGATGCTAACTGTAAATCAGTAGAAGCAGGGGAAGGAAACTAACTTAAAAATTTTTCATCTTGAAAATGTTGACTTTGGCTTTTTGCAGCAAATATATAGCTCTAGCAATGCAATCAACGGTAATGATTCTAATACACTGTATTTTGAAAGCTGGAAAGCCTGTCCAAAGAATTCAATTAAGTCATTTTTAAACCAGGAAAAAAGACCATTTAAAAAATATATGAAGTAACTTCTCAAAATTCTATAATATTAAAGATGTTTTTTATGAATGTCTTGAACAAAATTATTTGGGGAACTCAGAATATACTTCAATGAACAATCGGACATTAATTCTACAACTTGCCAGTTGTAGAAGTCTTAATTCTAAGACTTCATATGCCTTAGTATTTGATTTTGGTTTTTTGTAAGCTTCTTCAAGAAAGCAAAATAGCAAAATAATACCAATGGTCTCCCGCATACTGCGTTTCTTATATTCTATTTATTACACTCATTTATTGCAGTATATGCAACAACAGTAGAATAGTTTATAGTGACAATGACATTTAAGAACAGTCCTGTCACAAAGAGGGAGGCACACTCTACAAGTAAAATCATGTGCTCTGTAGGAGGAATGTGAATTAGCTGGTAATGACTCTTAAAGGTTAATGAACCAGATTTTTCCTATGTTAAATATTTATATAAATAACTGTGTTTAGAATTGATCACAAATAGGAACTGTTGAGAAAATGCTTTGCTTAAACTTGTTGCTCTTACAAACATTTAATTTGCTGTAGTGCTTAGGAAATATTCTTAATTATTTAAAGAACTGAACATCAGTACATATGAAAATTATTTGACTGAAAAGCCTCAAAATCAGAGAATTATAATAGACCTACAATCTCTAGGCATTCTTCCTCTGACACAGTAAAATAAATTTCATAAAATGCAAATATTAGATATGGAACCAACTTATATTTGCTAAGTTTCACTCTTCTATTCCAATACATTTCATTTCTCATTTGCATCTTTGCCACAGAAATCTTTTCCTCACACCCTGTACATAACTTCTCTAGTGAATAAATGGTACTACACAAACAACAGTGTCTGCATCATAATGAATGCCAATGCAATCATTGGAAATTTTGCTACATTAATTTTCAAATAATGTGTCAAAAAACACTGAAAAAACATGTGAAAACTTATCCACATGCATAAACAGGAAAAAAATCTATGTAACTACTGAATTTGTCTCTGCAGAGAAATACATCTGAGAACAGGAAGGAGAATGTAAAATTTCAGACTTACTCTGTAATAGCTGGCCCACTCCTCCCCCTCAATTTCATTCCTAAATCCTTAAGCACATAGCTTTTCATGTTCCTTGCTGTTAATGACTATTTTTATGACTCAGTCTTAAGTTTTACATGATTATTTTCATCACACAAATTAATTTAGTGTTCACTGTTTTAACATTAGAGGTTATAAGCAGTACTAGTGAATACACACAGTCACTGTCACAGCAGAAAACTGCCAGTCAGATTTTCCTCATTATGCAGTCAACATGGACATTGTTTTAAATTTTTTCTGTGTCAGTGACTAAGATACTGGGAGCCTCTGCTTTCCCATTTGAAAAAGACAAAAAAGACACAGAATTACTTAGTTTATTGATGAAAATTGATGAGATTCTTGTATGAAGACAAAATTACATTCTAAGAACAAACTACTGTCCATGACAACATTGTGTGTGAGAGCTGTAAATTGATATACTCATTTCTTTTTCTTCCTTTCTCTGCTATAAAACATAGCGGTTTGCAATTTCAAAAGTCTTAATGTAAGGTTTAAAGTCCAGGTTTAATTCATCATTCTGAAAACATTGCATAAGTATAATTTAAAAACATTCACGCAGTCTTAGTTTAATTTTTATTTGATATCCATTCTCGGCTTTTGTTTGTTGATGTGTGCATCCTTTTAATGCAAACACAAAACGAATAATAATTTCTTTCAGTATGTATTTGTTGTTCACGCTATTTGGTGAGTTTACAATAATACTGTGGTGAGTACAAATCCTGAAGTTATCCCTACACCTGAGAACAATGTTGTTATTTGATTGGGTTAAGCCAATTTACAGTCTGTGTTCCAAAGCTTTGAAACTACTGTTTCCCAACACTTTCACCAAAGATGAGAAAGGCAATAAAAGGCATATGCCTCGGTTGTTTTACAAAGAGACATGTTTTTCATCTTCTTTAGTCATGTAATCTATGATCTAAAAAATCAGCATAGGCAATGAAATGCAAAACATTAATTGCTGTTCTGAATGGATCTAACGTCTCCTTTTCGCGTATTTGGTATAATGTTGTTCTGCATTTTAAACTTAGACTTTGAAAAGATACTCAGAAGCATACTCAGATTATTTGTTTCTCTGAAGGCTGAGACCAAGAGGAGAGAGGTCTGGTTCTAGATCCTTAGAGAAATATGAATAAATAACATGCAATTTGAAAATTTTTTGTCCTGTTACCTACACATATCTCATTTATGATTAGTAGAACTGCACAGCTGCACAAAAATTAAATTGGATGGTCAGAAGATAGATCACATTCATTTGATAGCTCGAGCCCAAATTTCTGCAAGTGGGTGGCAGAGAAAAGAGAATTTCCAGTTGCTGAGTCTCACCAGATTCCCGAGTCAGAATCACAAAAGGCATTCAGCTGGGGTTAGGGAGACAGACAGCAGAGGGACAGATGCAGTCCAGTGCTAACAGCCGACCCAAACCAAAGCTGCATTATACTACCTGTTAGTTATCATACTTGCAGCTCTTTCCTCTGTGTTCATCCCCTATGGGACACTGCCCTGTGAGTGAGGGCACAGCTTGCACTAGGGCTGTTTACCTCAACTTTTCTTTGACGTGTCACATAGTTAGCTGATGCCAAGTCCTTTACCTGTCTTCTGTTTATGGAAGAACATACCTTTGAATTGGGAAACATAATTTTAAAACGGTAGCATTCTATTGCAAGAGCAAGAGAGAATAAAAAATTCGTATCTCTCTCCTACTCCCTTTCATAAAGTTCAATTCACCGGCACTCTAGTTTCATTTACCTGTTTTGTTCATTCTTATTGATTTCTATCCATATCCTCAAACCCATTTTTAACTTTATAGTTAAAAAGCTAAAACCAGGGATTTTTTAATCTACTCGATGGACTTAACTTAGTTGTTGAATTAGTTCCTGTTTCAATTAGAGCAGGACTTTTTAAAAGAAAAGCATACGCTAAGATTTTAAAGATTAACAGTGAAGAATCTTTCACTCAGCAAACGCTGACAAACTATCACATCCTGCTTTATATTCTTAAATTATTAATTGCTCTCAGTTCTACCTAACACAATCAAATCAAATCTGCAAATTCTTTCAAATCACTCCCCTTCAAAATATCAGAAACTGCTCTTTTTTAATCCTCCTTTGCTCTATTCAGTCAACACAGCATAAGGATGAAAACTCTACCTCAGCAGAGTTTCTTTTCCTTTGCCATCAGTAAACCCATCTTTGAAAATGCTGTGAAACCACATCAATCTTTACTTAGAAAACATTAGTTTATCCTGGTTTTGAGGTTTAATGCAGTTACTCACCAGCACTTTTTCAAAAACATTCAAACTCATTCATGACAGAACATTTACACATATAGCCATGGTGTTAGAGTTACAGATACTTTAGTTATAGTTTTTAGGTTTTCTCTTATTTCCTCCTATTACTTTTTCCATTAGTAATTTTACCAGATTAGTAAAAATGGCAACTATTAAGCTGTCCTCCAAAAATGAAAGGAAAAAACCCAAAGTTTTACAAGAGTAGCCAAGAAATAGACAGCCAATTTAAAGGGAAGTTACTGTTAATTTTGAAGCCCGTATATCTTGAGTCAAATTCAGCACAGTATCTCTGGATTGCGTTTTGGATTACATTGGAAACTGCAATTTGGCAACTGGCATACACACACACACATGCAAAGTAAGGGAGCAGAAAAAGGTTACATGTTTGAAAAAAATAACTCTGTAAGTTCACCTAAAAGTATGTAGGTAACACTCAAATGTCCTTGTGGTGGGTTGGGCTGCTCTCTCACTCCCTCTCAGCAGGACAGGGGAAGAAAACAAGATAAAGCAGTTTGTGGGTCGAGATAAAGACAGAGACATCGCTTCTCATTTACCGCCACAGGAAAAAGAGGCTCTACTTGGGGAAATTAATTTATGTCCAATTAAAAGAGATTTGAATCATGAGAAACAAAGACAAAATTGTAAACATCATCTCCCCATCTACCCCTGTGTTCCCCAGTCTCAACTTCACTCCTTCACTCCCAGCTCCTCTATCCCTGAGAGGCACAGGAGGACGAGGATGGTGGCTGTGCTCAGTCTGTAACAGCTTCTCTCTGCTGCTCCTTCCTCCTCACACTTCTCCCATGATCCTGTGTCAGCTCCTCTCCGGAGCCGCAGTTGCTGTCAGAAGCCTGCATCCGGCCCAGCCCTACATCACCTTCCATATCATTTGACCCCGGTGTAACTCCACTGGCGTTAACAGACACCGGCCCAAATGCAGGAGCGTGTACGGCTGTTTCTCTGCCATCAGTGTGAGGCCAGCGCTTCACAGGGTTCCTCGCCAGGTATCATTTTGGCGGATGCTTCACATTTTCTTGGGTTCAAAGACGAGGGCAGAGTGCAGACATTGCTGCCTAAAAGTGAGTTTCCTTCCAGGATTTTTCCTTATCACATTTCAAAGGCCTCCAGACAATGGAGGTGTCACAGCTTTCCAATTTCTTTTGACATAATAAAACCTGCAATGATCTTTTACAAGATTCAAGTAACCTAAATACCAAAGTTCTAGGTTACAATTTGGAACATGAGTGCAACGGGAGTCCTGCACATTTCACAGACACATCAGGATTTCCTACAGCTCTGATGAACTCGGAAAATGTATTTCTACACTTCCCAAAAACATGATTAACAAAGGTATAAAAGCTTCACCTTTAAAAACTTAAAAATTTGAATGGCACGGGTCACTCCTGTTGAGTCTAATCTCTCTAATCTATAAGCAGTGCTTCTCCTGTGGCAGTGTAACAGCATAAATGGGAAGCAAAGCCAGCTAATCTATACATCTGAGATAGGCAGTGAGGGAAACTTGCTGACAGCCATCAATAAAAGTACCATAGAAACAACTTTCCTGTTAAAGAGCGAATTAACACAGACCAACTACTGGAGGGTAGCTCAGTGAGGGCTGGGGCTGGTAAATTGCTTGGTTTGAATGTGATGGGATTTGATCAGCCTTTACAATATCAGACCTATTAAAGAAATATATGCCTAGATCACACAAGCCAAAAGGTCCATCTGTGCTCTCATGGCCCAAAGGGACTAGTACAGTAAAGGCAAAGTTCACAACTCTTAATCCAGAGCAAAATCTATTAACTGAGCTACCATCACGACTTTCTCTCTTCCTGAGGATTAGTCAGTTATTACTAGCAAGTTATCATTACACAAACGTATACCTAACAATACAGACATATCTCTAATTGTCAATTATGATCAGATATCATCAATCAATTACTAATGATGCACTAGAATTAGGAAATAGAAAAACACAAAATGAGAGTTTTTTTCTCCTCTGACACATGTTCATGGCCTGCTTTGCTAACACTTTAGCAAGTACTGGATTTCTTTCCATCTCGGTTGAAGTAAATGGAACATAGGTACAGTGATTAAGTCCTCTGATGCATGGGGATCTTTTCCAAATATTCCAAAGAGAATTAAGGGACAGACCTCATTTCCAGTGAGGATACACTGCTAAGAAGTCCTGAAGAAAGCCTTGTTCTTGCAGTTGAATTTTACAGTGTCAGTGCAGTTCATTTCACAATAAATTCTCAATTACACTCCTCAGTAATGTAAATAGATGCTGTTGCTCCACCATACAGTTTCATTAGACCAAATCACATGTGATATAGCATTATGTGGGATTCCTGCTTTACTGTCTTTGTTTTCGAGGATATTATTAGCCAATTCTTTACACAGAAGATAAACCAGTGCTCTTGCAGCTATTCCTTGCCCAATTTTCAAGTTCATTAATCTTTATGATTTAAAAATATGTATTTAAAAGAGCACCTCTGGTGTTTAAATATTTTAATTTACTGGACTAATTGATAACTATGGTTAGAGCTGTGCTGTGTGAAAAGTCTGAGAAATGCCAAATTAAATCTCACTTCTTATGTTGTCAGACAAAGTTGGTACCAGTTGTAACTTAATACTTTTAAAATTGTGTGTAAATCACTGTCTGTATTCTGCTAAAACCAAAAAAGGAGTTTTAGGTTGTGGTAAGAAGAAGCAACAACAGTTCAATGATAAATCCCAAGATGCATGAGATAATTAATTCAGCACCGGATTCACGAAGCACTATTTATGTTTATAAGCAGTTCAGGATGCCTCTATCAAACTACATAACTGACTCAAGTTTTACTAAAATACACTGTATATAACAAGGCTAATATTTCTGTTTAATGAAAAGCAGTTTCAAATATTTCTTCTGGCTGAAATAGTAGCTACTGTGCCACCTTTCAGTTTTGGCCAAAGGAGCTGGGTGTTGCCTGTAGACACCACACACAACACTGCAGCTGATCGCTATCACGCTGAAATGGATAATGAGGATCCCTTTTTAAGTTTATGCCATTCTGCTCAGTCAAATCTTACATATTCTATACTCCAGGGCCTGTACAGGTATAGATAAAAAGATTTGATTAAAAAAAAAAAATCCAAAGACATATATTACCTTAGCCAGGTGAGTATTGATCCATTTTGTGAAAGTCCTTTTCTGTACTGACTCTTGCTCATCTGACAAAAAAAAAAAGAAATTGGTTTGATTAGAAATTGCTGAATCCTTATGGATTTACATGATGTAAGAATAACATTCTCTATTGACAACAAATGCATGCTTTATTTGCTGGAAATGCCACTATGTTTTCTTGACAGTTAATTTTGCCTGTAACTATCCATAATAAATATTTCATACTCTTCTAATAATGCTCTGACACTTGACTATTTGTAGAATTTCACAGCAAAGTTCAAGTCTTAACGAGTGAATAAACAGTAAGACACCATTTCAAATCTGAATGCCAAGATAAATTTGACATCTAAGTTGATATTATATTTACCCAAGGTCTGAGCACCTAGAACTTTTCTGGACTTTTTAACTAGAATCCATGTCTCTGACAGTCAAATTTCTCTTCTTTGGAAAATCAGCTAGAGACTTAGAAAAAATTATCTTAGTATGTACTTTTGAAAATTTTTATAATATTGAATTAAAGATTTGAAATTGCATTATCAAGCTTATTTGTCCTCTGGGAGATCTAGACAGGGAGGAGCCATTAGCTAGTTCAGGCAGTTTCTATACTGCTACTTACTACCTCCCTTAGTCCTGTCTTGAAGTACTTGTCTGATTTATAGTGAATTTCACTGATTCTCAGATAGTCCCTCAGGGACTGTTGCCAGCTGCATAGACAAAAATAGCTCCTGAATGAGCTTCTCCAACTTCAGCAGCCAGGGTCACGGCTGCAGAGGGAAGAGAATCACAGCATCATAACTAATCCACAAAATAGTCGCCTTCCTTGTAGGGAATCAGTTTTGACACAGGGAATAATTTCACAACAGGGGCATTCAAGAATTTACATTAAAGATTTTTCTTTTGAAAATAAAAGGAAATACTTATTTCACGGAAAAACAAATCATGCCATTACTATCATCAGTTCTGAATGAGCACCTTCATTCCCCTACAGAAAAACCAAATTAATAAAATTGCTCTTAAATATTTACTTTTTATAAGAATGCATATGTGTCCCAAAACCTACAGATGGAAAATCTAATTTTAGTTATGCCTTTGCTACTGACTTGTGCAACACTGAATAGCGATTTGATTTCTTTCACATCTGTACAATTAAAAGGGAATATTCTTTAATCCTCTTTAAAGTTCTGGAATACATAACTAATTAGTTTGATGCACCACTAATAGTAAGATCCCTGATTTACACTCACACAATGCTGTTCCACAATGAGGGTACATAAAGATACAAATTGCCACACAAAATTAATCTGCAAAAATCATAGAATCATAGAATGGTTAGGGTTGGAAGGAACCTCAAAGACCATCTAGTTCCAACCCCCCTGCCATGGGCAGGGAAAACCTCCACTACACCAGGTTGCCCAAAGCCTCATCCAACCTGGCCTTGAACACTTCCAGGGATGGGGCATCTACAACTTCTCTGGGCAACTTGTTCCACTGCCTCACCACCCTCTGAGTCAAAAATTTCTTCATTATATCTAATCTAAATCTCCCTCTTTCAGTTTCAAGCCATTGCCCCTTGTCCTATCACTACATGCCCTTGTTAAAAGTCCCTGTCCAGCTTTCCTGTAGGCCCCCTTTAAGTACGGGAAGGCTGCCATAAGACCACCCCGGAGCCTTCTCTTCTCCAGACTGAACAGCCCCAACTCTCTCAGCCTGTCTTCATAGCAGAGGTTCTCCAGCCCTCGGATCATCTTTGTGGCCTTCCTCTGGACTCGTTCCAGTAGCTCTATGTCCTTCTTGTGTTGAGGACTCCAGAGCTGAACACAGTATTCCAGGTGGGGTCTCACGAGAGCAGAGTAGAGGGGCAGAATCACTTCCCTTGACCTGCTGGTCACACTCCTTTTGATGCAGCCCAGGATAAGGTCGGCTTTCTGGGCTGCCAGTGCACATTGCTGGCTCATGTTGAGCTTCTCATCTACCAGCATTCTCAAGTCCTTTTCCTTAGGGCTGCTCTCAATCCAATCCCCGCCCAGCCTGTACTTGTGCTTGGGATTGCCCCGACCCATGTGCAGGACCTTGCACTTGGCCTTGTTGAACTTCATGAGGTTCTCACAGGCTCACCTCTGCATCCTGTCAAGGTCTCTCTGGATGGCATCCCTTCCCTCCAGCATGTCCACAACACCACACAGCTTGGTGTCATCTGCAAACTTGCTGAGGGTGCACTTGATCCCACTGTCCATGTCATCAACAAAGATGTTAAATGTTATCTTAAGTGTGATAATGATGGCTCCCTGACCACATACGAGCCCCCAAAAAGTGTTTGTACGCTATGACACAGATATACTTTCTTTACATATAAATGACATCTCACATATAACAAATACCAGATGAAAAAAAATACTTATACTCTCCAGCATCTATTGCTAGATTAGCGCACTTCATGCCTAAGAAAATAATTTTGCATTCTTTATTTTCTTTTTCTTTGATTTCAGTGGGTAGGCTGTCTTATGTCGTTTTTAAAACATTCATTATATTCTCAGAATCTACTTGTTGCACTGACAGGCAAGTTATGAAAAATATCACTCAAAATACTGCATCGTGCTTCACTCAACACTGACTAATTTTGGCAGGGGGTGTCTTTACTTTATACGTGACAATCGTTGCTACATTCTGGAAAACAGACTTCTCGCTATATGGTTCCTAGCCATGAACATGATGTTACCCTTGTGACATATAGTAAATGTCAGATCTGCTCTGACAAGCAGTTACATACACAGGTAGTATGATTAATTTCAACTGAAATACTCGCACACTTGAACTGTGTTGTGCGTGAAGTGTGGGGACGGAGAACGAGCACACGCACACAACCAGTCCAGCTCTGGCTTCATTCACAACTCTCTAACTTAAAATTCCCCAGCAACCCCGATACAACAAGGGCATGACAAAAGAAAAGTATTCAGCCTTTAGAAGTCAACCTTCTGATCAAAGAAATGAGTGAAAATTATTTCCTAATTTGTCATTCTAGTGCATCCTGCTGATTTAAGAAACAAATAGTCTTCTGACAACAACTGGAAATCAGAGAACCAGCTCCCAGCTTCTAAACGTTTAGCAACAGAAGACATACTCAGTTTCAGTCATATCAACAAACAGTAGAAATAACGTTCCAAAATAATCTGTGTCAAGGGAATGTATGTGAACAATACATCCTTTATGAGCCCAACAGCAGCTATTAGTAATAAAGTTGCCTTTTGTATAGCACTTATTTTGTATAGGTTTAAAGCAACAGATTTTACCACTGTAAAACCTATGTCTAAACATAATACAATTAGTGGATTGATTTTATAAATTCCATAATAAATACGTTTTTTACTAATTTCCCTGGAAATTCATTGAACTGATGCAAATTCTCCACAGGGGTCCTGTTTATCTATAACCACAAGACATGTGTCATGCAGTTTTTTACACCCTCCCCACTTGCAAGGACTGTCAGCTCCTTATTTGCACCACTTACCCTGCCAGTACTGAAGGAACCCAGGAAGCAGATTTAACGATGTAACGTTTTTGCCACCAGCAGCACCTTTGTAGCGAGCCATAAGCACTGCGGCGGC